CCTTGCCCATCCACTCAGCTTCTCTTCAGTCACCCTTACTTGCTCTTTCTCCTTCAGTTGTGCTCTTCACTGTGTGTGTGTGTGTGTGTGTGTGTGAGAGAGAGAGAGAGAGACAGGGTCTTACTCTATCGCCCAGGCTGGAGTGCAGTGGCGTGATCTCGGCTCACCGCAACATTTGCCTCCTGGGTTCAAGCGATTCTCCCGCCTCAGCCTCCCCAGTAGCTGGGACTACAGGTGCGTGCCACCACGTCCAGCTAATTTTGTCTTTTTAGTAGAGACGGGGTTTCCTCCTGTTGGCCAGGCTGGTCTCGCACTCCTGACCTCAAGTGATCTGCCCGCCTTGGCCTCCCAAAGTGCTGGGATTACAGGCGAGAGCCACCGTGCCCGGCCCAAAACCCTGTCTTTAGATCAAACTGGTCTTGCTGTTGTCTCACAAACTGCAGGCGATGATGCACAGAGCATTACTGCCTGTGGTTGCTAACCTTCCTGATTTTTCCTTGTATCTCTGGCATATAAAACAGTACCCTTAACAAGAATTTGTTGATTGATGGAATGAATCAATGAATAAGGCTGGGCACGGTGGCTCAAGCCTGTAATCCCAGCACTTTGGGAGGCTGAGACGGGCGGATCACGAGGTCAGGAGATCGAGACCATCTGGGCTAACACGGTGAAACCCCGTCTCTACTAAAAATACAAAAATTAGCTGGGTGTTGTGGCGAGCAACTGTAATCCCAGCTACTCGGGAGGCTGAGGAAGGAGAATCACTGAAACCCAGGAAGCAGAGGCTACAGTGACTCGAGATTGTGCTAGTGCACTCTAGCCTGGGCAACAAAATGAGATTCTGTCTCAAAAAGTGAAAACAAAGAAAATCAGAGTGCCAGGGATAGACCTAGGTATGCACAGAAACTTCATAAACCATAGAGGTGGCATCATCATTCCATGGGGAACAGATTATTTCTCTCTCTCTTTTTTTTTCTTTTGAGTCAAGGTCTTATTCTGTCGCTAGGCTGGAGTGCAGTGCTGTGATCCTAGCTCACTGCAACCTCGAACTCCTGGGCTCAAGAGATCCTCCCACCTTGGCCTCCCAAAGTGCTGGGATTACAGGCATGAGCCACCATGCCCGGCCTTCAGTTTCCTACTATAAAGTGGGGGCAATAATAGTATCTATGTCACAGGGTTGTTGCCAGAATTATATGTAAAGTGTCTAGTACAGAGTAACCCCTTGTGGAGGCAAGAGTGACTCCATCTTGGATGCTAATCTGCCATGTTC